AAAAAAAAAGAAAAAGAAAAATGAAAATAAACACACAACTCACATAGTTATTCTGAGGATTAAATCAGAACCATTTAAGTAAGCACCATAATGTTTATAAACCTTTTTTGGGGGGAGGGAGTAGAGATAGTCTCACTTTATCGCCCTTGGTAGAATGCTGTAGCATCACACAGCTCACAGCAACCTCCAGCTCTTGGGCTTAGGCAATTTTCTTGCTTCAGCCTCACCAGTAGCTGGGACCACAGGTGCCTACCACCCTAGGTATAGGGGACCAGTGCCCTTACTCATTGAACCACAGGTGCCCCCCATGTAAACCATTTAAGCATAATATTTGGCATGTTTTCAAAAGAGTTAGGTGTTAAGGTGATGAGTGTGACTTTTTATTACAGAAAGTTCCAAAATCTACATACACCATTCACAAACCTTGTAAGAGGTAGTATCACTAGCAGAACCTGTTTAGTCAGCTACTTCACATCATACTGAATTCAACATCATCTCACAATTAAATAGTTGCTTGTATCAGAGCTACCTTATCATGAAGTTAAGTCAACCAACCAAACAAACAAAAAAAAAAAAAAAAAGAAAGAAAAGAAAAATAAACTGGGTGGTTCCTGTGGCTCAGTGAGTAGGGCACCAGCCACATAGCTCAGGCCAGCTAAACAACAATGACAACTGCTACAACAACAAAAGATAGCCGGGCATTGTGGCAGGTGCCTGTAGTCCCAGCTATTTGGGAGGCTGAGGCAAGAGACTTGCTTAAAGCCAAGAGTTTGATGCCATGGCACTCTACTCAGGGCGACAGCTTGAGATTCTGTCTCAAAAAAAAAGGCAGCGCAAAAAAAAGGTGGCTCAAAGTAGTAGGGCACTGGCCTTACATACTGGAGGTGCAAGGTTCAAACCCAGCTCCAGCCAAAAAAACTGCAAAAATAAATAAATAAACAAATAAAAGGCCTGGAACAACTTGGCGACCTTACCACAGTGGTTGCGGCACTAGCCACACATACAGAGGGTGACGGGTTCAAACCTGGCCCAGGTCAGCTAAACATCTGCAACCAAAAAATAACTGGGGATTGTGGCGGGCACCTAGAATCTGAGCTACTTGGGAGGCTGAGGGAAGAGAATCGCTTAAGCCCAAGAGTTGGAGGTTGCTGTGAGCTGTGACGCTACAGCACTCTATCAAGGGCTACATAGTGAGACTCTGTCTCAAAATAAATAAATAAATAAGAAAATAAAAAATAAGAAAAAAAAGAAACCTGGAAGCTGGCTAACTCTTCCAACTCAAAGGATTACATTATTCATCTACAGTCATAGAAATCGCAGTGGAAGGAATGTTGTAAGCAGATCATCCTCTTGAGGTTTATGTTAAAAAAAAAAAAACTCCTTTAAAACAATAACTGAGAAAATGACATGAAGGCTGTGTTGACCAGTTTGATGGAAGTATTTCGGATTGCATGTGAAAACCCCACACTGTATCCCAGAAGTGCATTAATGTACATAGTTACCATTCAATTAAAAAAACAAAAAAAAACAAAAAAAAATTCTTCAACCCCTGGATACTGTTATAAATAGCCCGCAAATAATTTAACCAAGATAGAGAACTGACCTGAACCAGTATATAACCTGAGAGATCTAAGATGTGGCAGCAAGCTCTACTAACCTAAAGCAGTTACTAGTACTCTTGTGCAGTGTGACCTTATTAGACACACATCCTACAGTTGACAAAGGCAAAAGGTGCCAAAAATGTATACATATTTTAAGGAAAAAATATTAAAATTGGAATAACATATACCAATGTTATCTTGTAATTGTATCTTGTATCTCTTATAACTGCAGAAGTCAAACATTACTTGAGTATTACAATTTTGATAGTTTTTTCCATTCTTAAAATGTGTACCCATTTTTTTTTGCACTCTATAAAACGGTATTGCTCACACTCTCCAAAATATTAGCAAAGTCCTGAAATATAACATGTTTACTTCAAGACAGTCATTCTTAGATAACATCTCACAGAAATCACAGCAGAACAGTCAAGCAATGCCTATACATTAAAATGGAGGCCACATCAAGCAAGGGAATCCAAGAGTCTTCATTTCTGTGATTCATTAAAGGGCAGTATTAAGCATGTAGCATGTTTGGTTGTTTTTTTCTTCTTTCTGGAGACACAGTCTCACTCTGTCACCCCAGGTACGGTGCAGTGGCATCATCATAGCTCCCTGCAATCTCCAACTCCTGGGCTCAACTAATCCTTCTGCCGCACCCTGCTGAGTACCAGGGACTACAGGCATGTACCACAATGTGCAGATCACACTCTCTCAGCTCATCTTGAACTCCTGAGCTCAAGCATTCCTCCTGCCTTAGCCTCCCGGAGTGCTAAGATTACAGGTGTGAGCCACCATGTCTGGCCACTTGGGAAACAGCTTTTTTTTTTTGTTTGAGACAGAGTCTTACTCTATCGCCCTGGGTAGGATGCTATGGCATAATAGTTAACAGCAACCTCCAACTCTTGGGCTCCAGCTATTTTCTTTTCTCAGCCTCCTGAGTAGTTGGGACTACAGGGGTACACCACCACTCCTGGATAGTTTTTCTACTTTTAGTGTAAGAGACAAGGTCTTACTCTTGCTCAGGCTGGTCTCTGAACCCATGGGCTCAGGCAATCCACCTGCCTCAGCCTCTCAAAGTGTTAAGACTACAGGCGTGAGCCACTCCTAGAAAATATTTTATAGATATCCATTATCAAGTTTGAAGAAGGTGTTTTTTTCCCCCTTGTGGTAGTAAAGATAAATAATATTGTAAGTAGTAACAGGAATTTCTTCGTGGCCAATTTCTTTCTTTCTTTTTTTTTTTTTTCTTTTTTTGAGACTGAGTCTCAAGCTGTCGCCCTGGGTAGACTGCCGTGGCATCACAGCTCACAGCAACCTCCAACTTGGGCTCAAGTGATCCTTTTGCCTCAGTTTTTCTACTTTTTAATAGAGACTGGGTCTCACTTTTGCTCAGGCTAAGCTTAAGCAATCCACCTGCCTCAGCCTCCTAGAGTGGTAAGATTACAGGTGCGAGCCACCACACTCAGCCAGGGTGGCCAATTTCTAAAACATGCTCTAGAGCAGAAGAACTGCCAATTTTTTTTGTTTGTTTATTTGTGATAGAGTCTCATTCTGTTGCCCTGGATAAAGTACCATTGCATCATAGCTCACAGCAACCTTAAACTCCTAGGTTCAAACAATTCTCTTGCCTCAGCCTCCTGAGTAGCTGAGACTACAAGAGCCACCACAACTCCCAGCTAATTTTTCTACTTTTTTTAGTAGAGCTGGTCCAGCTCTTGCTCAGGCGGGTCTCAAACTCCTGAAGTCAAGCAATTCTCCTGCCTTGGCCTTCCAGAGTGAGGGGAGTTCATAGCAACCTCAAATTCCTAGGTTCAAATCATCTTCCTGCCTCAGCTTCCTGCTACAACAGATAGCTAATTTTTCTATTTCTAGTAGAAACAGGGTCTCACTCTTCATCAGGCTGGTCTCAAACTCCTGAACTCAAGGAATCTTCTTGGCTTGGCCTCTTGAGAGTGATAAGGCGCTGAGCCACTGCGCCTGGACTGATGTGTGGCTTTATAAATGTTTTAAATAGTATAAATAAGTATACTTTGCATTTTCCCCATACCAACCTTTCTAGTTCCAATCAGGTTAATATAAATTTCAAACCCTCCCTCTCTCCCCACTAACAGTAACATTTCTCTGTACACAGTTGGCATTGAATAAATATTGACCAATCAAATGAAGCAGGATTTGCCAATGCCTCAAGGGGGTTTCATGAGATCAGTGGATCATGCTATTCTGTGTCTTGCATCATGGTGAACTCTCTGAAGCAGATTGGTGGTTACCATCTCCTGGTCAAAAATCATTTAGTGTACTTGCATTGTAAAAAGGAAATTTTTCTATTCCTGTGCTGTTTCTCCAAATAAGAGAAGAAAATGGAGGTCCTCTGGTAAACTAAGCCACATAATTTGTACTTTTTTTTTTTTTTTGAGACAGAGCCTCAAGCTGTCCCCCTGGGTAGAGTGCCGTGGCATTATAGCTCACAGCAACCTCCAACTCCTGGGCTCAAGCGAGTCTCCTGCCTCTGCCTCCCAAGTAGCTGGGACCACAGGCGCCCGCCACAACGCCCGGCTAGTTTTTGGTTGCAGCTGTCATTGTTATTTGGCGGGTCCGGGCTGGGGATTTGAACCCGCCACCTTAGGTGTACGTGGCTGGCGCCTTAGCTGGTTGAGCTATAGGCGCCGAGCCCATAATTTGTATTTTTACCCCGTGTCTGTAGGTATATGGAGTACTAGGAAGGGGATGGAAGGAATTATGTACTATTCACTGAAGTAAGAAACAACCACCCATTCCCCAGCTAGAATCTAAACTAGTAAGGAAGGTCACTTTTCATTTTCAGAGGATAAAGCTCATTTGTTTCTGGGTCCTATTCCCAGGATAGTAACTACCTTCTCACTCACTCCTCACAGGCATCTGGGGGTGGCCACCCCAGAACGTAGCTAATTGGCATGAGTCCTCCTCTAGACTCTAAAGTTGCTTTAGCTAGTATTCCCAACTTGTTAAGATTTCTCTTAAATTTTTATTATTTAAAGAGGAGGAGGTGGGGAAGTGAACTGCTAGAACTCGGGTGAGACTACTCTGGGAAATTTTCCTCAAGGATCCTGCAGTTTTATCACATCCTTTTCAATGTTCCAACAGCCCTTAGTACATACTTCTATTATGTGGTACTGCAAGATTATGGAATTCTAAGGAATTCTAACTTTCTTTTTTACATGTATTATCACTCTAACCAAATTACCTTGGTGACAGAAACCATGCTCTATCTTTGTAATCCTAATAAGTGACACAAATCAAGCCTACAATGAATATGTGTTAAATAAGTGTCTGCCATAACTCAGAAGTAATTTTTCTCAAGAGTCTACGTTCTTTTTCCTTCCTTCATACTTAAGTCCCTTGAATTCCCATCACACACCAGTCACCCCACCTAAATTTCCTACCTCCCAGTATTTGGTTCGGTTGATACCCTCTGCATATGCTCGGGCAAAGTTACTTTCACTGTTGAGGGCTGTGATGGCTGCACTGAGCTGAGACATGGGGTGTAGATTGGTGGGGAAGTTGTCCAGCATGGTAACCACATGGGAAGGCAGAGCAGCCCTCCTTGCCCACTCTTTTGAGAGCCAAGATACCTGTAGAAAAAGGAGACACTGCTCAGAACACTAGCAAGGAAAGGAAAGAAGAAAAACAAAAGGACAGTGCATCTGAGTAAAGTCAAGAAGAGTTCAATCCAATCCACTTATATAATAGAACTCTGCTCTGAATTCTTCCCCTCACCACACATCTCTACAAACTACCACCCATAGTCAGGTCAGGATTAACTTTCTAAGATCAGAAAAAGGCAATGAAGAAGGAGACTGGAAAGGGCTAATAATGTCCTTCTGCTTTACCTGCTCCTCTGTTGGAATCTTTCCAGTCACCAGCAGCCAAAATAAGCCCTCAGGCAGGGGTTCTTCCCCACCCTCAGCCTTGGGCAACAGTTTCTGGCATTCAGGGATACTAAATCCTCGGAAACGGATGCCCTTGATGGAGGAGAAGAGTGAGAATTACAACTCTTATAGTTGATATACTAAAAAGATAAATATGTTGTTCAGTTATTCCATACATACTTATTCTCTACCTTCCAAAAAACAAATATACTTACTCTCCTTAACTCTGACTGGTCTAATCATGGTTTGCAGTCAATAAACACAGTAATTATAGTGACTGACATGAAGATATCTTACCTCATCAGGATCAAGAACTGATGTTTCATATACCAATCCTTTCATACCTCTCATGCCACCATACATCTGAAGAGGATGGGAGAAAAAAAAAAAAAAAAAAGAGGCTATAACCAGTAGTTAGAATGACAATAGGATAGAGCTTGTTAGAACGTCACGGGATCTGGGAGAAGAAATTTATTCTCTGACTGCCAAGACTGCACTCAGGGGAAGAAGATGTCTGGGCAGTTAACTTATTAAGGCCAGGGAAAAGTCATCCTAATGCTGTTCTAGAGGGCCTACCAGGCTTATTAAGGCTGTGCTTTAACTAGATGGCTGGCATAGCATCAAAGACACAAAGTTCTGGCTCCAAAAGCTGACGGACTGGGATTAGGAACAGAAATTTCATCTTTCCTGTAGAAGAAATTAGGTTAAACTCAATCATCAAATTTATAGAAAAGAACAATCTAATCTCAAAGGAACAACATAAACCTCAACACTTCTTACATGGGACAGAATGAATTTGAATAGTCACTGAAGAGAATGGTGTTTTTGTTGAACCACATTACAGAGCTTCTTTTCCCAGCCATGACTCCATTACCCTTACCATGTCCACAGTGATTTGGCCCACCACAGTCTTGCCATGTTGCTGTTTGAAGGTCTTAATTCTGGCCTGCTCCTTAGGTATCAGATCAGCCAGTATGTCTTTCAAATTCTAAAAATAGAAGCAGAAGGGCTAAGTGACAGTCAAAAAAGTTTATTAGAAGGCTGGGCACCATTGTTCACAACTGTAATCCTAACACTTGGGAGGCCGAGGCAAGTGGATTGCCTGAGCTCACAGGTTCGAGACCAGCCTGAGCCAGAGTGAGACCTCCTCTCTAAAAAAGGCCAGATGTTGTGGCAGATCCCTGTAGTCCCAACTACTGGGGAGGCTGAGATAAGAGAATCACTTAAGCCCAGGAATTTGATGTTGCTGTAAGCTGTGACGCCACAGCACTCTATCAAGGGTGACAAAGTGAGACTCTGTCTCCAAAAAAAAAAA